TTGTCTGAAACAGTCAAATGGAGAAAGGTTACAGAAGAGGAGATTAAATACTCCACAAGAACCACACTTGGAAACTCATTACACTTGATGTAACAATTGCAGTCCTGCCTGGAGAAAGCAAGGAAGTTTACATGCTGCAGCCACACAGGTTCAAGAAACCAGGAAAGTAAAATCTGGTGTGCAAGTTTCAGAATAGCTCTAAGGTCTGAAACAAGCAGTTACAGCCTAGAATGAAAAGCTAAACCAGATGTTTGTCAAACAAGACTTCACACAATGTAGAGCTGACTCTATTCTAGACTCAAAAACATAGATGGACACACATTCTCACTTATGTGGATAATGTAATCATTTGCTACCAGGATAAGTAGCCAAGAGATTGCTAAGAAACTCAACAAATGGGAAGCATCTCCTACTACTTAGGCATCCAGACAGAGAAAAACATGGAAGTTTCACATCAACCCGTCCCACCTAGCCAGGCAGAGAGGGCATGTTGCGGGTCCCATCAGCGAGAGAATGTCAACTGGCGGGGCCCAAGAGGAGAGCCTGCGCTGCCGTTGCCCCCGCCCTTTGGAACATTCTCCCCCCAGAGGTGTGGCTGGCCCTGACCCTCCCGGCCTTCCAGAAACCATTAAAGACTTGGCTCTGCCAGCTCGTGTGAGGTGATAACAACTTTACCCAATCCTGGGGGTGGCTAGCGCCTCGATGATGCTCCCTGAGTGATTGCCAATTATTTTGGATGTATTTATTTTCTATTCATTATTGTAATTTTGTAATTTTAATTGATTTTAATTGTTTTGTAAACCGCCCAGAGTCATTCATTGAGATGGGTGGTGACAAATTTGATACATAAATAAATAAATAGTTACCTTCTCAGCCAAAGAGAGAAGAAAAAGGATCTTTTTCAGTGCCTAAGACTGATTGAAGCCGATGGGGGAGTGTGTATACTGACTTCTTAAAGAAATATGCAAATAATGAGCCCTTGCTTGAGACTGACACACACTGTATAAGGCTGCAGTTGGAAAACTCTTATACATAGTCACAATGACAAGCAATGATGTTGCTACAGCAGTCAGGATCCTGTCTAGGAATGTGAGTGTACTAGCAAAAGGGGATTGGAGTGGGGTCAAGAGGGTAGGCAGGGACCCTAAGAGCCCTGCACACTTAGACTCTCAGCCAACAGCAACCCAAAACTGGTGAGCTACATGGATACAGAAGTTGGTTTGTGTGCTATGGAGATGCCACGTGGTTGTAATAGTCTGTTGGTAGTTTCTGAGACATTTCTCATGTACAGCTAGAGAAGACACATGAAACTATCAACATATTTCTTCAAAGGAATAAGATTCACCAGAGAGGAAGAAAACAACAACATGCTACCCTTCCTGGAAACCTCATCAGGAGAGGAAACAACAGCAAATTAGAAACCCAAGTCTATCAGAAGACAACCCACACTAATCAAGTACTCCATTACCAAAGCAACAACCATTCACCAGAGAGGAAGAAAACAACAACATGCTACCCTTCCTGGAAACCTCATCAGGAGAGGAAACAACAGCAAATTAGAAACCCAAGTCTATCAGAAGACAACCCACACTAATCAAGTACTCCATTACCAAAGCAACAACCCAACCTCCCACAAGAGGAGCTGTGTAAGAACATTATTCAAACAAGCACAAACACATTGCAGCAACCCAGAACAGTAGAAAAGGGAAACAGACCACCTATACAACATCTTCCAACAAAATGAATATCCATGCAATTTTATCAAAAAGTGCCTGGCCACTCAACAACACTCAACATACTACAACACAACCAACACAAACTATGAAAAGGATAACACTGCCATACATACATCAGAAACT